GTATCTCATAATTATGACTTAGCTATCTCATAATTATGACTTAGTATCTCATGAGATACTATCTCATAATTATGAGATACTCTCTCATAATTATGACTTAGCTATCTCATGAGATACTATCTCATAATTATGACTTAGCTATCTCATAATTATGACTTAGTATCTCATGAGATACTATCTCATAATTATGAGATACTCTCTCATAATAATGACTTAGCTATCTCATAATTATGAGATAGTATCTCATGAGATACTATCTCATAATTATGAGATACTATCTCATAATTAGCTATCTCGTAATTATGAGATACTCTCTCATAATTATGACTTAGCTATCTCATAATTATGACTTAGCTATCTCATAATTATGACTTAGCTACCTCATAATTATGAGATAGTATCTCATGAGATACTATCTCATAATTATGAGATAGTATCTCATAATTATGACTTAGCTATCTCGTAATTATGAGATACTCTCTCATAATTATGACTTAGCTATCTCATAATATCTCATCATATGAGATAGCTAAGTCATAATTATGAGATACAAGTTTTATTAATTTTTTTATCAGGGAGGCAGAAATGGGCTTCCATACAATGCCAAGAGGAAGCCCAATAATTTAAAAATCTCCCATCTGTAGTAGACTAAAATTTTGTTTTTAGAAACTGACCTTCATTAAAACAGAAACGCGTAGAGCTACTAAGGCAGACTTTTATTATCTTAGTTTCCTTGTTATGCTGGAACTCTAATTCGTTTTGATTCCACATTTTTTTTCAGGATGACATTACAAACAAGCAGCAGTCAACCATATGCTAATGACACATGCTCACGACTGTCAGACATGTTGAAGTCAAAAGGACTCAAAAGGTTTCAAGATTTTAATAGAAACCATGATAATGTTGCTTCCAATGAGCACAGATTTATCAACAGTGTCACACATGTTAGCAGCATGTTAGTGTGTGTTCGTGTGCATTTATCTGCTCCTTATGTTCTACTTGATACGAGGTAAAATGTTCAGCACACGAATCAAAACAAAAACACAACATTTAGCTGTTTACAAAACGTGGAAACAAGAGTTAAAATGTTCAGAAATGAGGTTCAGTGGAAAAGTTATGAACGGTTCTTATCTTACCTGTTGTAGATAGTAAGTGGCTGAGGTTAACGGCTAATAGCTAACGTGTAATAGCTAGTCCAAACAAAACCAAGACCGTGGGTGGGTGTAGTTCTGCTAATCCGCTGACAGCTAACAGTTAAGCTTTTTCACTAACTTTAAAATCGTAAACGGACCAATCAGTTTCCACTAAATTATAAACTTTAAATCTGCTAACAGCTAACTAACAAACTAACACCAACAGAGTCGTGTCAGTCCCACCCGTCTTCAGCTTCCAGGAGACGCAGACATCTTTGAAGTTAGCGCTTAGCTAAACAAGTAAAAATTTGTCTTAGCATCCCCTAATTTTTACTTGTTTAGCTGTCTACAGTTTACGTCAACTATTATTTTATTTTACATGTTCTGTGGTTATCATTAACAAAGTTATATTTTTAGTTAGCAGTTTATGAGTTTTTGGTTGGCTGGAGGTAGCTCTAGCTGCACCAGAAGTGCTACAGCTAACTGCTACTGCCACTATGCATTTGGAGGTAAACAAAAATAATTTAGTGCAAACTGACGGCAGGGTGAATGTTTAAAGCCATCACAAAATGTTTGATTGAAGCAATCCATGCAGGTCTGCGTCCTGCTCTGACTAGCCATTAACTCGTCAGTTAGATTACAAATAAGCTATTTTTTTTACAAAAAATAAAATGTTTTGAACCCCCTGCTTCAACAGAATGGAGAATGGAGAGGTGCTTTAAGAAGCTGATTTGTGCGCTCAAAAAAAGATGTTGTGACTTTTATTTAAAAAATTAGGTCAACTGGTTCCATTTACCGTAACTGAGTAAAGATAACACATTTACTTTACATGTACTTAAATGTAAAGTAAATGTGTTATCTTTACTCAGTTCAGTTGAGTGGAATCAGTTGACATAGTTTTAAAAAAATAAATCCACTAAATCTGTTTTTCTCTGAATACATATTTCCTTGTGACACCTGTTTGTGAACGTTTCAGAGGATATTGTGGTTTCACTGTCAGCAGCTCACAGAGAAGTTTCCATCCTGTTTTTTTTTATTTTTTTACATGAACTCATGATGAAACTAACAGTTTGCACATTTGTTGAAGGTCACAGATTTTATCCTTCAGAAGAATCAGATAAAAGAAAAAACAATCCATGATGACTGTAGCAGTAATGAGTAAAGAGGATTCTGACGATGCTGCTGTCACGCACATAAACGCACACGTTTTCAGGTGTTTTGAATCCATATTTAAGGGCTTTTTTTTGTTTTTTTCCATAGCTGTGAAGTTTCTCTGCATCGGGTTTTTCTTTAGCAGAGAAAACTGAGGAGGTGTGAGAACAAGTGGAGGAAGAATGAATGGTTACAGTGTTTATTTTTATTCTTCAGCTGAGTCATAAATCAAAACAAGAACTGAAGTGAAGCCAAAAGTTGGAAAATTATTATCTCGTGTTGTCAGAGAAACCTTGTTTTTGTTTTGTTGTTTTACTCTCCATATGGGATTCTAATTTTGGTGCATCATGTTTTGGAGAGCGGTGAAGGAAACCTGAACAAAAGAAGCAGTTTTCAGATAATTTGTGCCTCTGCCCGACAGAGAGGGCTTTACTTGGGAATCTGTGTGTCATGTGTTTTCAGTGCAGCTCTCAGGGTTCAGCTCCTCCAAACACATGATTTGTCAGAACGGTCGCACCCACCCCGT